AGTCCTGGCGGGGGGGGTGAGGAGCTAGCTAGTACTTGCCCTCAGGAAGCCCCCTGCACCGAGCACCAGAACTGGGAGAGCTGCCGGGTGCTCTAGGGAGGCTGTGAGCCACCTTGGCCTGACTGGGCTCTCTGCACTCTGCACTCCCAGCCTGATTCTCCTTGCCCGGCCAGACCCACTGGGAATGGAGACAAGCTCTCTCACATTGCAACCTTGGCCCAGGGAATTCAGCATTAGAAAATGGGGGCTATTTTCCAATGTTGTAGAAAAATGAAAAACTACTAGAATTTTCTCAATTTTCAATTTTTCCTTCCATGTTTCTGGAGACATTGAAACAGGCCTGTTTATCTGCCCAGGGTCTGGGGTATGAAGAGGTCTGATTAGTTAAGATCCCTGTGTCGTGTTATTTTCCTCTTAACTGGCCATGAAATGATAAAGCTCTCAATTTTGCAGTTTGAGACACCTGGTGCTGCAGCTCCCACTCAGCCAGCGGGTGGGCCCAACTTTGTCCCTTAGACCCAGAGGCATGAAGTGATGATGCTGATTCGGGCCGAGGGCTGGAGGAGGAAAAGCCAGCCCGAGGTCTCTTCTGACTCAAAGCCTGAGTGAAGCTTCCTGTCTTTTGAGCCTTCTCCTTCCTTCCTACTTTTGCTCCTTCCCTTCAGAGATATGAGACAAATTAGAAGAAGTTTCACGAACGGGGAGGTGCTTTAGGAAAGGAAACATTATGTAAAGCTAACCTCTAGAAATATATACCACAGGCAGCACTGTTTCTGAGAGAAGATTCCGCTCTGAACTGCCCAGTGGCACCGTAAAAAGAGAGATCGTCTCAGGAACTGGAATCACACATGTGTATCAGATGAGCCTCTTTTGCCTGTAATCTTGGTGAAATCTCTGACACGGTGTAATATGAAACATCTTGGCAAAATGACCTTAATAATTAGGATCAACAGCAATTAGTAATGATTTTTTTAAAGAATTATTTTATTTAACTTTATTTATTATTATATCATTATTATTTTTCAGTTTGATCAGAGAGAGACAGAGAGAGAGAGGAAGTGAGAAAGCAAGCCACCAGTGCCTCATAGACTTGAACCATGGTCGGCCATGTGGGAGTCCAGCACCTTTAACCACCATGCCACTTGGCAGCGCCAGCAATTAATAATAATTTTTAAGAAAAAATAATGAATAATTTTTAAGAAATAAGTTTTAAGAAAAAAATGTAAAAAGAGCACAAGCTCTCTGTGATAGTTGAGAATATCCCACCCCGTTTTCTTTTGCCCTTGGTCTTCCTGGGTTTGGTGTTCTGGTCCCCAGCTCTCACCAATGGGGAAAGAGGACCTTCTGTCTAGGGGTAGGGCCTGGAGGCGGCGGAGAAGCAGGGGGGATCTGGGGAGGTGCTGGAGGCCCCCCATCGTCTCGCTGTCCTTCCTGCAGCTCAACCAGAACCTCAATGATGTGCTGGTCAACCTGGAGAAGCAGCACGGGAGCAACACCTTCACGATCAAGGCCCAGCCCAGGTGTGAGCCCAGCCCCGCCTGGCCGTGGTGGGTGGGTGACGCCTGGTGGGACTGACTTGCGCACAGGAGCAGGGCTCCTTCCTATGGCCCCGTGGTATCTTCCTTGGTCCTCTGGCCTGCCTGTGCTCAGGGAAGCAGGTGTGGGCAGGTCACTGTCCTCCGATATTCTTGTTCCTCTGAGTGTGTCCTGTGGAGGCAGGAGTGTCCCCAGGAGCCTGCAGGTCTCTGAGCCTGGGGCCTCATTTCCTCATTCAGGGGACAGGAGCAGCCGGGGCAGAGACAGAGCTGCCTGCTCGGCTTGAGGGCCACAGGGTGAGCGCCTCCTTGTGCAGCCTTCAGCGCAGGGAGGTAGTGCTGCCTGTTTTCTCTCCTGCCCTTGGAAAAGCCACATCCCTGGTTGGCCACATCCACACACCTGCAAAGGTGTCCTCAGCCCCAGGCCATCGGGGGTCCCAGCTGCCCAGGAGATCCCTGTATCCTGACAGGAAGCCAGGAGAGAGGAGGGGAAGTGCCTTTTCCTCTGGCCGAGGATTAGGGGAAACGGTAGCGAGTCTGGGATTTCCCTTCCTTTCTGGCTGAATGTGTGTGACAGTGAGTTTCTGGGTGTGAGTGTGCACACACAAGCAGGGTTGGGCAGAGTGCAGAGAGCTCTGATGAGTCTCACCTTCCTGGTCTGTAAAACAGGGTGATTGTGTCTGCGTCTTCTTACCTGGGGTACCAGGGAAGGAGGTATTCAGTGAGTGCTATTGCCTCTCCTCCCCTGAAAAGATTTGTGAGTGTGTGTGTGTGTGAGAGAGAGAAAGAGAGAGAGAGAGAGAGACCCATAGGTGTCCTGAGGCTGAGAAATACAGGGACGGGGTGAGAGGGTGTGTAGAATAAAGGCCAGAAGGTAAGTCCAAGGTCACTTCTGGGAGGGACACCTGCCTGCCGGTGCAGGTCCAGGCGGGAACATACACAATGGCTATCCTGGGCAGTGCAGGCAGCTCCCCCTCGGAAAGGGGTCCAAGGAAGAGGGAGGGAGGTGGAGGAAGAGAAGTGGAGGCCCAGAGCTTGTTTTCCACCAAGGCCACCACTATGCAGCTGCCCTCACCTAGGGGCCTCTTCTCCTGGGTCTACAGCGGCCAGCTGACTCCTTCTTGAAGCCCCTTACTGAGGACCACAAGCAGGGTGGACTTCCTCTGGCCCTCTGCCAGCCTCCTGCACTTTGCAGGACCCTGTCAGCACCACCTGGGCACCGGACAGCATGCTGAAGCTGGCCAGAGTGCCATGGACTGGACGGTGAGGTGGGCAGGCCTATGCCCTCTTCACGGGCTCCAGGTGGTTAGGGGAACTCTTGCCCCTTTGCCTTCCTCAGAGGAGGGGAGGGGACTGGCCAGCATCTGGCATTTGCCCCAAATGAAGGCCTCCATGTCCGCCCATCCCCACAGAAAGAAAACTAAACTGTTCTCCCGGCTGCGCAGAAAGAAGAACAGGTACCTCAGTGAGCGCTGCGCGGCAGGGCCTCCGAGGCAGCGCCCCAGCTGCTGGTGGCCTGTGCATGTGAGGACGCCACTAACCCCTAACCTGCCTCCGTGTGTGGTGCTGCTGGGCAGGGCTACTGCGGGAGGGGTCAGCAGAGGCCAGCACTGGGTGGTGGTGTGTGCGCATTGGGAGGGGACAGGGACTGAGGAGGTGATTGTGGTGGCCCAGGGCAGGCCAGCTCAGTTTAGCACACAGCGTCACCATCCCCATGCATCCTACCCTGAGTGGCCCCACCAGCAGTGCACGTAAAAGGGAGAGGGCAGCGAGGGCTCAGGAAAGGGGATGCTGTAGCAGGGTGTATGTGTGCGTGTTTATTTTTAAAAAATAAGTGTGCATATTATACATTTAAGTTTATATGAGGGGTGTTCAAAAAGTTCATGGAGGGTACATATTGTGATAAAATGGTACGTGAATTGCAAAAGTGTTTGTGCCAAAATAAACTTCAATTCCACATTCTATCCATAAACTTTTTTTTAAAGAATTATTTTATTTTAAACTTTATTTATAATTATTTTCTAATTTGACCAGAGAGTGATAGAGAGAGAGAGAGAGGGGGAAAGTGAGAAAGGAAACCACCAGGTCCGAGACTTGAACCATGGTTGGCCATGTTGGAGGCTGCGCCTTTAACCACCATGTCACCTGGCGGCCCCTCCACAAACTTTTTGAAGTCCTGTGTATTACTATTATTTTTTAAAAGTTTATTTCCTTGTGAGTGAGTCAGAGATAGCACCCCTAGAGAGTCTGGATGGCTCTGCCCTCATGTCAGTCAGCCCCGGGTCTGTACATGCCCAGCGCACTCAGGGAGGTCTCCGGACGCACACTCTGCCTTCCCACGTGGGACAGCCCCGCGGAGCACTGCACTTTACTGCTGCGCCACCTTTTGGTCCCTGTATATTTTCTAAGGAGGCAAAACATTCCCATAAAACAAATTCAGAAAGAATAAGCTGGTACCAGCAGTGTCTTGCACTGTCCCATTTCCAGCCCTGCACCACGTGACCTGGTCACTGGTCTCTGTTGTGTCTAGACCTGCTCTGCCTGGCTCAGGGGCCAGTCTCCTCAGGTGCTTGAAATGTGGCCTGGGTGGCTAAGGATCTGAACTTTGCATTTTAATTAAGCTGAAGTTTGATTTTAGTTTTAGTTAAATGAATGTGAGTAACCCCCCGCCCTGTGGCTAGTGACTGCTGGACAGTGTTGTCCTAGAGCTTCCTTATGTGAGCTGAGATGTAGGAGTCCCTTCTCTGTCCCCTTCACACCCAGGGGAGGCCCCCCGGTACCCTGCCTGGGTCCTCCCCTCCACCCCACTGCCCGCTTGTCCAGTGAAGGCATGGCTGGCCTTTGCTGCCCCAGCCTGCCCTGGCCTGGGGTGTTTCTGGTATCTCATGGGGAGGCATGCTGGGCCAAAGGGGCAGTGGGAGAAAGATGGGGAACGAATGGGGCGGGGCGTGTGCGTGCGAGTGGAGGTGGTAGCCCGGGAAGCAGAGCAGTCTGGGCGCCAGCTGGGAGCTGCCGTGTGGCATGAGGAGACTCACTTTGCCTCTAGGTGGTCTGGCTTTCTGCTGTGGATCTCGGCCTTCAGGACAGGCCGTGGTAGTGCCTGATGGAGCCTGCAGGCAGCTGGGCTGGCCTGTGGTGGCCAGCAGTTCCCAGAGACCTGTCTGTACCCTCGGGAAGCACAGATTCCAACTCGAAGTCCTGCCTTGTGTGGTCACTGCCTCCAAGGCAGTCCCCTTGCTTTGACCTTGTGCAGGCACATGTCCAGGTCCCATGTGCATATGTGCTCACACGGCATGACATGTGACTTCACAGGGCTCATGCATGTACATGTGCACAGTTTCACACATGGATTCATGAGGACACACATGCACATACATATGCACATACACATGCACTACAACTCCACAGTGGGTCCACAGAGATGTACGCACATACACACACCAGATCCATGAGGATGCACATATACACACATGATCTCACTTGAGAATCCATGTTGCACACATGTACATTACAGAAACACATAGTTTCCCACTTGTGTCCACAGGGCATCCCTACCCCTTCACACAGACACCTACGTGTTGGCTCAGCCCTCTTGTGTGGTGGTCTTCTACATCACCAGCTGTCTTGCCCCTACAGTGACAACGCCCCTGCAAAAGGGAACAAGAGCCCGTCGCCTCCGCCAGATGGGTCCCCTGCTGCCACCCCCGAGATCCGAGTGAACCACGAGCCAGAGCCGGCCAGTGGGGCCTCCCCTGGGGCCACCCTCCCCAAGTCCCCATCTCAGGTAGGCATGAGTCTTTGTGGCCTGTCACCTCCCTGCCTCCTCATCCTACTTTCCTGCCCCCTTCCCCTGGGCAGGTCTGGATGCTCAGTCTTCGCCTGGGTGGCTGGGCCCGGACCTTGGTCTCCCTGGGCCACACCGGCCAGGCTCACTCAGTGGCCTAGGTCTGCTTCAGAGGACAACTGCAGCTGTCTGTTTTCTCCCAAGTGTCCCCTTACCCCCACTGCAGTGTCCACCCTTTCTTCTCAGCTTGGCCTCTGGGGCGCTTGACTCTTTCTCCATCTTCCTTTCTCCCAGACAGAGGTTCTGGCCCCAGCCCCAGTCCTCTGAGTCTCCAGAGGTGGCTGCCGTTCCCTTTCCTTGCTTCTCTTTCTTGCAGGGGTGGAGGGAGGAGCCCAACCAGGTGGCCATGCCTGACCTTTAAAGCGAGGGAAGTGCAGGGGGCTAAGGGACAGGGCCCGGGCTCTGGGACTGTGCCATCTACCCTGGTTCTCAGGGTTCCTGCAAGGCCCCGGGCAGGCTAGTCGGGGGGCTGGGCAGGGCAAGGCGAGACTGGAGTCCACCGAGAGCCTGTCTGAGCCGGCATTAGGTTGCATGTACCATCTGGCTCTCAGCAGCTCTCTGGGTTTCACGCTGCTACTCCAGTCTACTGGAGAACCACATTCAAATAGCACTTGCTTGGGGGCAAGGCACTTTCTACATTTTCATCCATGAATCCTCACAGCTGCCCTGAGAGGTGGATTCCTTTAACACCTACGTGGGGCAAATGAAGAAACCCAGGCATGGGGTGTGGTACCTGTCAGAGTGCCTGCCTGGGGGCAGGTATGTGGCCTCTGTCGGTCCTGGCTCTGCTGCCTTCAAGGGGCATACAGGCTGAACCCGCTCCCCCAGGCCGCCTGCCTAGGGCAGATAGTGAGGGCTCTGCCAGGGGGCCAGAAGGACGAGAATGGGCAGGGCTGAGGTGGGGCCTGTCTGTCTGTCTGTCTGTCTGCTACTGTTTCTCCTCCGGCCCTCTCAGCAGGGTGGGTGGGAGCCAGATCCTCCAGTGGGCTGGTGGGCAGCCTGAGCTGGCCTCCCTCCCTTTTCCTTCCTGTCTCTCTCTCACTTCTCTCCCCTCCACCTCTCTCACTCTGTGGTGTTTCTGGACCTCCTGCTCCGCCCCTCCTGGGGTGGCTGTGGCCCTGGTGTCTGTTGGGGGTGTGGCTCTGTCTTTGCTCATCTTCATCGTGGCCTGGGCGGGGCTGTGGCCTGGGGTGTGACTAACCATGGCTTTGTCTCTGTCTCCCAACCCCGTGCTCCATGTGCCACCCCATGCGGCCCCAAACCCGCTGCGGCCCACAGCTCCGGAAAGGCCCGCCAGTCCCTCCGCCTCCCAAACACACCCCGTCCAAGGAAGTGAAGCAGGAGCAGATCCTCAGCCTGTTCGATGACACGTTTGTCCCTGAGATCAGCGTGACCACCCCCTCCCAGGTCAGCCGCGGCTGCCGCGGCCCAGCTCCCCTCCTCACTCGGGCTGTGCATGGCCTTCACCCTCCACTCCACTCCTGTGCTTCCATCTCAGAGCCAAGAATCCGGTCAGGGAGACTGGCCCTCCCACCCCATCATTGTCCATCTCTGTGTGTGCCCCGTGGCCAGCTGCAGGGACATGGGGACAGGTGCCCTCCTGCCCCACAGTGGTGGGGGTCAGCTCAGCAATGCCCTCATAGTGTGGCTGATGACACAGGGGAGTGTGACGGTGCAGATAGAGAAGGCTTCTGCCAGTAACTATGAGCAGACAGTGGCTTGTGCTTAGGCCAGGAAGGGTGAGAGGCAGCTGCGTGTGGCAAAATGACCAGGTGGGTGGACATGGGAGGAAGTAGCAGGGGCATTGTTGGAAGGGCCCTTGACTTCAGCCCTGGGAGCTCTGAGCCCCATGGAGGTGGGAGCAGGGTGTGTTGCAGAGCAGAGCTGTTGCTTGTGGAAACCCTGAGTGGCATGCAATGCCCATTCACAGACTGATGACAGGGGGGTTGTGCAGAGGAGTCGGGGTCCCTGTGGTGGGAGTAAACTGTTAGCACCAGAGGGACCAACATGTTGTCAGATCAGCTTAGGGGCAGCTAGGTTTCCTTGTGCCACTGGGAACCCACTGCTCGAAGCTGGCTCTCCTGGTCCAGCTGGGGTCCTTGCACATGGGCTAGTCCAGTCTGAAGACGGGCTAGTGTGCTGTAAGGGTCGCTCTGCCCGGAGCCTTGCCTGGAGTCTCTGACTCGCCTCCTGGAAGTTCCTTTGACAGGCCTGGAGAGGAATGACAGGGTCAGAAGAGGTGCATTTTGGGAGAGCCAGTGGGAACTGAAAACAGGGCTCTGTAGGAGGGCTTCCAGGCCCCATGGGAGGACTTCAGGTTAGAACCAAAGCACGTGCTCTGGGGGTAGAGTGCCTGGTCCAGGAGTCTGGGAGGCTGGTGAGCCCCTCTCTTTAGGGAAGTGGTGGAGGGGAGTGTTAGAGGAGCAGGTGAGTCAAGGGGAGTGATTCGGGGGCAGCTTGCTACTGGGCCTGCCTGGAGGGAGCATAATGCCTCTGCCTTGGGAACAGGAAGGCAAGAGCAGGTGTGGAGCTGGGCGCGGTACTGTCCACTTTCCTCCAGCACCTTGTTTGCTTCTCATCCTCCCTCTGGCCCTATTTAGCAGGCGCGGGCCCTGCCTGCAGGGCCTGGCCAGGAGGTGGCCCAGAGAGCGCCTGCACCACCCTGAGTGTGCCTGTCCCTCCATGTCACTGCATGCCTCCCTTCCTGCCCCTGTGCCCGGTCTAGCCTGGGGTGGGAGAACCATACGCCTTGGGTGGTGGTGCATGGCAAGGTGTGGCGTGTCCTTGTCCTCAACGTTGGTGTCAACAGGGCTTCTCTGCTGTGGTGTGGTGAGTAGCCTGTATCCCTCGTGGAAGGCCAGTCTCGTCCTGTATGTTGAGGGGTGCCGGGCAGGGAGGGCTTGGAGAAGGCTGGGCTTCAAGCCCTGGTTGGAGGACTTTAGGTTAGAAGTCTGGCTAATGAGCCTCGGCTTGGAGCGTGGCTGCCCTGACTGTTGGAGGAGCAGGATGTGGGCTACCTGGAGGGAGAGCCGGCTGTCTGCTGGTGAGGCACACAGAGGCCAGGCCACACAGTGCCCGGAGCTCTTACTCTTCAGACAACGAGGTTACAGTCAGGTAGTGACCTCCTGACCCAGTGATGGGCCTTCAGGCAAGTTCACTGCTGGGTAGGCCTGGGACAGGGCCTGGGGCTGGGGCCTGCCTGGTTCTGGGGCCTGAATCCCCTTGACCTGGGCTCTCTGTGGCTAGGCCCACATGGAAGGCCTGATGCCTTATCCCCTGAGTTGTGGACACCTGGCCCCGATTGCTCTCAGGACTGAGGATCTATGGCCACTCCTGAGCCTGCAACCTAGCTGTGGAGGTCCCCGAGGGAACTTTTGCTAACACCCCAGGTCTCAGTTCCTTCTTGGTGGAAGCTGTGGAACGGACTCAGCCTGAAGGGCCCTCCCATCAGTGCTGGATGCCCATCGAGAGCACATGGAGCCAAGAAGCTGCTGGCCTGGGGGTGGGGGTGGGGACCCACCAGCACTCCATGGAAGCCTGGGAGCAGGAGCACCCTAGCCACATCTCTCTTCTCTTGGAGGTGGGCATAGTCCTCTCTGGCCCCAAAAGTTAGCCCCGCGAACTGGAGGAAGTCACAGTTGAGCCAGCCCCTCCTCAGGAGGCAGCGGGTCCTCTGAGTGCTGGGGCTGCCCTGACTGCCCTCCCAGTTTCAGGCTCATCAGTCATTGCTCCCACCATCAAGGGCTCCCCTGGGGCCCTAGAACAGTGGGGCTCTTTACCATGAGGCCAGGGCTGCCCTGAGCTATGCCCAGGCTTACTCAGGGATCTGCCTGTGGCTGTTAAGGTGGGGTCTGCAGTTTTGACACAGGTGCCTCAGGTGCTTTTGAAGTCCCTGATGTTGGAGACCCTCACTTTGAAGAGCGGCCCCCGAGGCTGTGTGGGCTGGCTGGCAGGTTGTGTTACCAAGGGGTGACCTGTCTGTCTGGGGTGCCGAGGGAAGACTGGGGGTCATGTTCCATCTGGGCTGTGGCCTAGAGCTGCTCTTGGTGGGAAGAGGGGCAGGCAGAGAATGAAGAGGCATAGACATCCACACGGGAGGCCATTGCCAGCCTGACAGGTGGAGAGAGCCCAGACTTTGCACTAGTCCTGCGGGAGGCTGCCCTGAGCAGCCAGCAAGGCAGGCACCAACGTCTTCATGTGGGTGGGAGCCATGCACAGTGCTCTGGCGTGTGTGTGTGTGTGTGTGTGTGTGTGTGTGTGTGTGTGTGTGGTGGATGGGTGTGTCATGTGTGCCTGCTGGTCTGTCACTAACTGCTTTCCTTCTTTGCTGCTGCCATTGCAAGTTTGAGGCTCCAGGGCCCTTCTCCGAGCAGGCCAGCCTGCTGGACCTGGACTTTGACCCCCTTCCGCCTGTAGCAAGCCCCGTGAAGGCGCCCACACCTTCTGGTCAGGTTGGTTGTGCCACACTGCCCATGGGCCCACCGGCCCCCAGGAGCTAGGCCTGGGCTCATGCTTGTCTGCTGACTACGTGGACTGTTTAAGACAGGCCTTGGGGGATCCAAGGTCGCTAGGCTATCTTCCCACTCACTGCCCTCATCACTATAGGGCAGAGTAGACACTGGTCAGCTGGGGACCCTCCTGGCGACTTCTGGTTCATTCAGCACCCTGCCCCTTCCAGCAGCCACCCTTGCCTGGGTCCTCTGAGTGTTGTCCCAGACTCTGCTATCAGCAGACCTCCAAGCCCAGCCAGTTCTACGCTGCCCCATGCTGGGATGGAGGGCCCTGGGGGTGCTGGGGTGCCTGGGGACTGCTTGCTGCCCTGTCTCTAACCTCTGTGCTAACCGTGTCCTTCTCCCCCTACTGCTGCGCTCAGCCAATTCCATGGGACCTCTGGGAGGTAAGCGTGTGTTTGCTCCATGCCTGCCCTTGGGGAGTGGCTCGTCTGCGCATGCCCAGGCCCACACGCCTCCTCCTCCACCAAGCTCATTCTTATGTGCACACACATGCCATGCACATACACCACACACTCTACACACAGGCTGTGAGCTACCGAGGCTGCCTATCACCAGCTGATTACTGCTGCTCCCTGTGTCACGTTCTGAAATGTGGCCCAGTTGCAGGGCCTCCAAGTATGTGATAGTCGTCCTCACAGTGGGCTGAGGCCTGTGAGGCCAGGGGGGCCTTAGGATGGAGGGTTCTTGTTGCACAGGGCATAGGGCACAGGGCAGAGGGAGAGAGAGATGGGAAAGGCAGGGTGAGGCCAGGGCCCGCTGAGAGCAGGGCCCCAGGCAGGTGCCAGGCCAGCCTACTCAGGACAGATCTCAGCCACAGGATGGCTCAGGACGGGGCCAGGTGGTGATGGTGGAGCCGAATTCCAGCTGGGTTCCTGGGCTCTCTCTGAGTTGCCTTCACACAGGCAGAGGTTGGTGAGCAGGGAGAGGTGGGGGTGGTGTGCAGGTGCCCTTGGGGGCTCCTGGGAATCCTAGAAGCTCTGCCACAATGTTGGCTCTGCAAGAGGCCATAGAAAGCAAGCCTGGTGCGAGCAGGCAGGGCCGTTTTTCCACTGGATCTCACTGGGTGCTGCGCCGTGTCCAGCACAGACTTACCTGCCTGTCCCCTGGGCTGTGGTAGGAAAGAGGCTAAGGAGAGTGACCACACTGGGCTCCAGCTGGGGTTCAGGCACCCACACTGTCCCCTGCAGGCATTGTCCACTTACGACCCACTTCTGTTGTCTCGTGCCCCTGCCCGACACCTTTCCACTGGCCTCCCTGCCCCCACCCTCCCTGCTCTGTCCTGGTGGCCTGTCACTAGCCCACAGAGAGTCCAGCTGGCAGCCTGCCTTCCGGGGAGCCCAGCGCTGCCGAGGGCACCTTTGCTGTGGCCTGGCCCAGCCAGACAGCTGAGCCGGGGCCTGCTCAAGTAAGTGCCCACCTGCCTGCTCCCTGTCCCCTCCAGCTTATCCCCACCTCTGGGGATGTAGCAGGGAAGAAAAGGCTGGGGTGGGGAGAAGGATGGACCAGGCCACTTTGGGCTGAGAGTGAAGTTGGAGGCCTGAGCCAGGAGACCCTGGGACAGGGTTGCACCTTGTATTAGGGGCAGGTGAGCATGGCTGGGGTCACATTGGCCCTCCTCCCACTCTCCCTGCCTACCCCTGTCTCAGCGTTGGTCTCCCACAGTGGGAGGTGGCATCTAGAGCACTTCCAGTTTATGGTGGCACTCCCCAGAACTTGTGCGTTTCATCTTCACTTTGACTTTGTCAGCCAACTTTCAGAGATCAGAGTGGAGGTTAGGAAGGCTGAGTAACCTGGTCCCAGAAGTGGCTGAACAGGTCGTTGGCCCAGGTTGGCCCAACCGTAGGCAGGTAGCATCTGTCCTGCCTTGCTGGGACCTTGCTGGGAGGGGTGGGGTGCGCCACTGGGGACGCTCTTTGGTGAGGGTGGGGGTGCACTCCGGGCTGGGCAGGGCCCACTTACCCATCCTGAGTTGGTTTGGGCTATTGTACTGCTGTCCCCAGGCATGAGCTGTTTACTGGCGCAGCAACTCAGCCAACTGGGCAGGGTGGGTGGCAAGAGGCTAAGGCCTGGTGAAGTCTTGGGCTTAGTGGGCAGGGCCTGTGAAGAGGGTCAGGGTGGCACCCAGGGCCTGTGCTAGGTTTCTCTGAGCATGTCACTTGTCGTCCCTGTGCCTGCCACACCTTCTCTTCAGCTGCTTCCTGTGCCCGGGGTCCTGCCTGTCCTGCAGGGCTCCCTGGTCGTGTGAGGCACTCACTGACCAGTTCCAGCCCTGGGGCCCTCCCGTGCGGTGCTGCCTCTGTAGCCCGTTTCTGTGCCCTGGCCACAGCGTCCTGTCTGTGTCTGACCGTGCCGGCATTTATGTTGCAGCCAGCAGAGCCATTGGAGGTGGCGGGTGGTACTCAACCTGGAGCCCAGGAGCCTGGGGAGACAGCGGCAAGTGAAGCAGCCTCCGTAAGACAGCAGGGACCACAGCCCTGTCTTTTCTTCTCTGCTGTCTGTTTGCCTGCCTGTTTGTCCATCTGCCTGCCCACGGCTCCCGTGCCCCTTGCCCTGTGCTGGCCTAGGCTGGGGCAGGCTGGTCTGGCATCAGGTGCAGACATTCCCTCCATCCCCCATCACCCTCACTCTCCTGGGACCACCTCCTTGCTAGCTGACCTGTGCTCCTACCCCCAGAGCTCTCTTCCTGCTGTCGTGGTGGAGACCTTCTCAGCAACTGTGAATGGCACCGTGGAGGGCAGCAGCGGGGCTGGGCGCGTCGACCTGCCCCCAGGGTTCATGTTCAAGGTGAGCTCAGTCTGGCTGACCCCTTTGGCCTCTGTTGGCCACCACCCCACAGTGCCCTGGGGGAGGGCTCACCTCATTTACAGATGGGGACACGGCCCCTGCAGATGCTGTGATTTGTCACTTGTGAAGGCTATCTGAACCATGGTCCTGCAGCTGCTATGCTCCTGGTCTCCTTGTGGCTGTTGGTATCCCGGCAGGCCCAGGCTGGTGCTCTTTGCAGGCTTGGAGGGACTCACACCCCTGACCTCTGCAGGTACAGGCCCAGCATGACTACACAGCAACTGACACAGATGAGCTGCAGCTCAAGGCTGGCGACGTGGTACTCGTGATCCCCTTCCAGAACCCAGAGGAGCAGGTGGGCAGGGAAGGCCTTCTGGACTCCTGGAGCTGTGGAGACCTCTAGGGTGGGCTATGATGGGGATGGGCCTGCAGGGGGCAGCAGAGGCCCAGCGTTGTGCAGCGTGCTCCTAGCCATCTGCAGCTTCTCCAGCCTTCCATCCCTGCCTTTTCTGCCCTGTAGCTTCTCCTCATCCCCTTGGCTTCCTCTCTGTCCCTGCCTGTCTGCCCCTCCCTGAGTGTCTCAGCGTCTTCTCTTCCTGCCTTTAGCTTCTGCTTTCCTTCTTCACCCTTCCGCTTCCCTTTGTTTCTGTCTGTCTCTCAGCATCCTGCTTGTTTTTTCTCCCTAACTTCCCTCCCTCCCTGTCCCTGCCTAGGAGCCTGACTTCCTTCCAGGACAGTGTCATGGGCCCTGTTCAGGTGCTTGCAAGGTGCCCACTCTGCAGCAGAACACTGGCCTCCTGCTGGGCTCACTTGGCCCAGGTGCCCCAGGCTTGCCCTGCCCTGGCCTGCTGTGGCTTTTCCTAGCTCCTGCTGAGCCTGGTGGTGTCAAATATTTCCTCCAGGTTTGGGCCAGCTGCCCTGCTCAGCTGGCCATGGCCCTCAGCAGGGGCTTTATTTTCGGGGTGAGGGAGTCTTTGCTCGTGGGCATCCAGTTTCACCCTCAGTGACTGAGCACCTGCTGGCTGAGCACAGGGGCCTGGAGAATCCACTTAGTCATCAACACGCCTGTCCGTCCACATGGATGGATTGTCAGGAAGGCTGAGGGTGGACAGTAGGTTTGGCTGGATCTGGGATGAGGCTCACTGAGTCTTGAGGGCACTAGGTACTCACTGAGGCCAGAGGGCAGAAAGGCTGAGTAACAAGGGTTTCCTGGGTGTGGGGCTGAATTGGCCAATTCTTTCAGCCCCTTGTCAGCACTGACCTCCCTGGTGGCTAGTGGGAAAGTAGACCCCTGGTCCCCCTACCCACAGTGGGAGTTGTCCACGGGAGGCTCAGATAGATAGGAATAGGGTTTATGACCAGAGGAATAGGGTTAATCACACAGGGAGATGACAGACCCAGGAAGGCCCCAGGCACAGCCTTCCTGCAGGGGCAGCAATGGCCCAGCCATGAGCAGGGGTCAGGGCCCAGGCAGAGGACCCTTGTGAGGGGTCAATATTGGAGCAAAGGAGGGCTTGGTGGGGATGCCCTCAGCCTCTATAGAAAATCCTGCTCTCAGAACTTTCTTATATTATGTCCAGAAGTCTGGAGGGGCTTCTGCAGGGATGTGTCCTCTGAGGGCACCATATGATGGGATGACACCCAGTGGCCTGGGGTGGAGGGATTGGTTTAGACATGTTCAGATGAATGCAGTAGTCAGGCTGCTTTCTCGGGCTGTGGAGGGCTCAGCACAACCAGCCCAAAGGCCGGATCCACCCAGGAAGCAGGCTGGCTTCTATGGTGGATGTGAGTCATGATGAGGCTCATGGATTGCTGCCTGGAGGAGGTGTTCTCCAGGTGGGCTAGGGAGGCTGAGAGGGCAAGAAAGCACGTTTTCAGGTTCTGTGCCTCCTTCTGTTCCCTGTGACCTGTTGGTTCCCTGCAGGATGAAGGCTGGCTCATGGGTGTGAAGGAGAGCGACTGGAACCAGCACAAGGAGCTGGAGAAATGCCGGGGTGTCTTCCCTGAGAACTTCACCGAGCGGGTTCAGTGATGGGCCTGGAGTGTGAAGATGCCTTTTCCCGAAAAATGTGTGTTTCTTTTTCTTCTACCTTTTTTTTTTTTTTTTAAAGTTTTTGTTTTTGAACTTTTGAAAAGCCAAGGGAAATCACGAGGAGAGACCTGGGCCAAGGGGTCTCTCCCGGAGATTGGGTGGTTTTCCGCAGAGCCGGCTGGCAAGTCCGCGGATTTGCCAGTCTTCCTGAAGCTGCTGTGTCCCTAGTTGAGTCCCGGCGCCCCACCGCGCCCGCATGTGCGCCCAGCCCAGGATGGAGTCCCCGCTTGCCTGAGCTTGGCTGAGCCACCCGGGCGGGAGTCTCTTCCTGGCAGCTGCTGTGGGTGGGGTCCAGATGCCAGCTTGGCTGGCCCTGCCCCGCAGACCGTCTGTGTGCTGTTTGAGAATAAATCTTAGTGTTCAAAACAAAGTGAAACAAACAAACAAACAAACAAAAAAACCTGACAAAAACACTCAAGAAATGTGTGGTTACTTTTTTTTTTTTTTTTTGAATTTTTTTGTCTTGTTTGCTAGTGTGAATGGAACTGAGTTATTTAACTTTTCTATTCCTGGGTGGGTGCTGTTGGGCCAGCTGCATGGCTGCACCTCACCTCCTCTAGACTCAGACCACACCCAGGGCTTTGGGTTTTTACTGGTGGCCCCTAGGAACTCAGGTGGTAGACTGGGTGGCAGGGCTTGTCACAAAGCCTGTTAGGTACTATCCAGAGAGGCCTTAATATAGAAGATGGGGTCAGGAGGGAATTGAGTCACTTGCCTGTGAGTGTTGGAACTGGGGTGAATCTGAGCCCTTGGTCCAGAACACAGGGTGCCTGATTCTGAAGAGGTCTAAAGGGCCTGGATCTGGGACAGGCTTGGAGTTCTAGCTTCTCTGTTCTCCTGGCCTCCATGGCACACAGCCCCTGATTTTCCAGCTCCATCAGCACAGATGTATCAGGTGATACACTGCAGCAGCTGGGTCTTTTCTAGGAAGTGTGCTCTTGGGTCCTGGAACCACTTGGACTTAGGGTGCAAGCAGTTTCTCTTTACATAAATCCAGGCTAATCCTAAAATCACGTGGCTCAGGCCAGTGTCAGTCTGAGGATTATTTTTGGGCAAGCCCCTGGGCTTTTCTGTAGGCTATGGGATTGTCACTGCTGGAATCTAACCTGGTGTGTGGCCTTGAGCAAGCAAGAGGCCATGGTGTCAGTACGCAAGTCTGTGGAGAGTGGCCAATCTGAGCAAATATGGTGACCTTTAGTACAAATGCAGAAACCCTGCTCCATGAGCTGTCATTTGCATGGCAATGAAAGCAATATACATGTAAATATGCTAACTGCTTGAAATTGCAGAGCAGTATTGGTCTAAAGAAAGTCACATGTGCTTATTCAAAATTTGCCCAAAAAGATTAGAAAAAAAAACTTAAATAAAACTACATGGTGCCAAGTGTCCTCACATTTTTAAACTGATTAACATTCCCAAACAACTGACTTTAAATTCTATTTCCTCTTCTCCCATTTTCTGCCCTTTAAAAAAATAAACGTGAAACTGGTTCCAGGCCTCAGCTATCTCTATCAAAAAAGTAGGGCCCACTCGATCCTCACTTTTCTATACATGTTTGTCTTTGTATGTTTATTTTTATGTTTATTTCTAATCCACAGCCCCCTCACTCAAAAAAACATGTTTTGCCAAGTGAGTCCCGGTACAAGTCATCTCTAGTTACCCCAGCTTTGAAAGCTTTAGCTGCTCCCTCTTTCCTCACTCCCTTTATCATTCCTCTCACACTACCAGGTTCATTCCCTTGCACAAGGCCAATGCTTTGAACCTGGGGTGTGTGTGCCCTGGGCGCTGTGGATACATGCAGCCAGAGGCCAACACAAAGAGCCTTCACTTTTATTTCAGTGTGATAATTCGAAACATTTTCATTTAAATCATATTATCCAGGAGAAAGCATTTGCATTAGGTTTTACCATAATATGAGGCTGGTGGGCCCAGAGTTATAGGCCTGGAGTTGAGTGGACTGGGCTAGGTGAAGGAGGGTTGATATCCAAACAAACACTGGGCTATGACTTTCAAGGAGAAGGCGAGGTAGATTCAGTTCAGGCCTGTGAATGTCCTCATGGTGGTTTCTAGAAAGGGCACATGACTAAAGAACTAGTCTGGATAGAGACTACAAGTAGGTTTGTGTGAGTGTATGTGTATGTGTATGTGAAAGTGAGTGTAAATGTATGCAAGAGTGAGTGTGTCTGATGGTGAGTGAGTGTGAGTGTGTTGTGTGATTGAGCACGTGTTGTGTGTGTGACTGAGACAGTGTGCAAGTGTGTGAGTAAGTGCAATTGTGTGTTAATATGTTGTGTGTGAGTGGATACGTGAGCAGTTGTGTGAATGTGAGTGAGCATGAGGATGAACGTGCGTATGAGTGAGAGTATGTGTGAGAGTTTTTACTGTGTTGTGTTAGTGAATGTATGAGGTGTGAGAGTGAATATGAGAACAAGTGTATGAGTGAATGTGTATATGTGAGCATGACTGGATTGTGTGTGAGATGGTAAGAGTGTATGTGTGGTGACTGAGTGAATGTGTTATATAGTGTGTGTGAATGTGTGTAAGACTGAGCAAGTGTATGAGTGTGGGACAATGTGAGAGCATGTTATGTGAAAGTGAAAGCATGTGTGTATGATTGTGTGAGACTATATGTGTGAGTGCGTGTTTGGCTGTATGTGTGAGAGCGAGTGTATGTGAGTGACATTTGGGACACTTTTTGTTCACTCCTAGGAATGACCTCAAGAAGGGCAGTGTGAGATCAGGGAAGTTCTCTACCTTCTCCATATTTCAGGGGGCATTCACCTGACACCCCTGCCTCCTTAGCCCAATTCTGTTCCCATTGGGGCTGTGGACAGAGCATGATCCTCCTCAGTTGTCTGGAGACCGAGTGGCTAGGGATGCCCCTGTATGTGTGGGCCCAGCGTCCTCAACTTTCATTCACTCACTTGGATCTAGTCTCTTGAACTTCCACTCATTGTTCCCCTCCTAGGCACTGAGATTACAGAGAAGGATAAAACATGGTTTCCCGGCCCAGCCTAAGGCAGGAGGTGTTATGCCGAACTGGTACTGGAAGCTGTGTGGCTGTGGGTTGGTTCTTGGCTGGCCAACATGAGACCAGGGGTTGTGGACATGTCCAAGATCCTGTTGGGCTGGTAGGCTGGATGAAGGGGATGCTGTGGATCCAGCCCTGTGGAGGGGTTTTCTCTCGTGTGTGTACCCGCTCCTTATCATGAGCAAAAAATTTTTAAAATGGGGTTCCAGGGCAAACAGGTGATATGATGGCTGGAGCACTGGATTTCTGCAATTGTGGTTCGAGTCCCAGACTGGCAGTTTGAAAGTCATGCTGGGCGTGTGTGTTTGTCCAAAATCCTGAGAGAAGGGATTGAAGCCTGGCTATTCTCCCGGGGGATGATTTCTCACTTTCCCTCTCTCTGTCTCCTCTATGGCAAGTGCATGTGCCCGATGGCAAAAGCCTAAAAAAAAAAAACAAAAACGGGGAATGGGGGTGGGGATTCCCTCCAGTGATATACTCAGTCTGGGGGAGAGCAGAACAGAGCAGTTGGAGGCACAGCACTGTCATGGTTTATGCAAGGTTCTGGGGACAAAGAGGAAGAGCTGCCACAAAAGCCTATGTGTGTGTGTGTGTATGTGTGTGTGTGTATGTGTGTGTGTGTGTTCTGAGGGTTCCAGAACTGGTGCAGGGAGGCAATCTGGGGCCATAGCTGGTAGAGTTGTGGAGGACTGTGTGTGGGGCTCAAGTTCTCGCGAGGCAGCCTGGAGCTTAAGACAGAGGTGATGCTGAGGTGGCCACAGGGCCCAGGGGTGGAATGAGGCAACCCAAGAGAGCTTATAGAGGAGTAAAGAGGAGAGTCCAGGGAATGGCCAGTGACCTTTGCTGTTATGGGAGGGTGGAAGGGGCCAGTGCTGAGGGGCTGCTATAGGGAGTGCCTTAAAGTGGATACAGTCTTTATGCTTCTGCTGCAGGGCATGAGAAAGGTCCAAACAAAGGCATGATCTCTGCTGGGCAATATTAACTGGTTGGATCCAGTTGTCAGACAGAAACTACCAGTAACCTGAGCCTAAGATGGAGGCTGCCAGAAGAGGCTTGTTTAGAACCACGAGGTGCTCTACTGTTGAGGTACAGGGCTTTGCCTCCTCTATGAAAGAATGAGCACAGAAGGAAACTGATTGACCTAAGGTTGTACAAACAAGAGATGGGGGTTAATGCCAGATGTGGTGTGGGTGGAGAAGTGGGGCCTAAGGAAGGACATTTGGAGGAAGGATATGGAGGCAGAGCATTGACGGGATGGGGAGGTGTGGTGTTATCGGTTGAAGATATTTTGATCAACTGGACTGGGGAGAAATGTTCACATATTGAAATGTTCACTTTGTAAGCTAAATAATGTGATTGAATGCATACAGAAATAAAATAAATTTTAAAAAAAAGTGACTCTGGGCCATAGCTTTTCCAGCAGAGACTCCCTCAGCCTGCCTTACCTCCCCTCACCCCAGTCCTTCCTCTTGGTACCTTATCTTTTTGCCCTCAGGCCGGGCAACCTGCTAAATGCTTCCTTTGGGAAGAGCCTCCTCTCTAGAAGCTGTCATAGCTGGTGGGGCTGAGAGGAAGGGGAAGGCAGTGGTGACATGGGCCTTGCTGTCCTGCTCTTGGGTCCCTAGGGCCAATGGAAGGACTGCTATAGACTGTAGGAAGGCTGGGCCAGCGACACTCCAGACTCTTAGTCTGATGGTGTGGGTGAACAAATCCCCAAGGAGAGGTCCTCAGTGTAATTAAAAGGATAATTAACAATGAGCAAGGAGGCTGCCTTCCCAACAGCCTCTGATTATAGATGAGGCTGCCGGGGGAGAAGGGGAGGTGTGACTCCTTCCAAATAGTCAGGGTCAGTGTACAGTACACAGATGGATGTCGGGTTCTGCTGAAAGAAAAGGCTTAAATTCAGTTGGGCAGAGACTTAAGAGACCCTGTGTCCTCATGTCCCTAGTGTGCCCTACCAGGGTAATGGGGAAGTTGACTCAGCTCTCCCTTGAAGGAGATAAGCTCATGGGCCAAGTCTGGCATGAAAACCATCCTGGGGCTAAGACAGCAGGATCTTTCTTCTGGAAGCCTGCTACATTCTTATTTTGGTAGGTCTAGCAGACATGGAGTTTCCATAGGTGGAGTCACAGAGTGGGCTGGGAAGCTTCTGGAAAATCATCCTCCAGGAGGAGCTGATGGCCCTGAATCTATGGCTTAAGGGCAGCCTTCGCTGCCACACCTCAGCTGTCTAACTGCCCATCTCCCCCAATGCCCTCAGTACCCTGAGATTTAGGTGCCTTCAGCTGGGCTTGTCAGGTCTGGCTGGCTCTCTGTCTTTCCTGGGATGATCATATAAGTGCTCAGCCAGGGCTTATCTCCTTCTAACCTCACCCTGGTTTTGCTCAGGGAAACAATGGACTCCACTGAGGTCAGTCATTAACCCAGACTCCTCTGCAACTATGAGTGGCCCTATGACATGGTCCCGGCCAACCAGAGAGAGGCTCTCCTATACAGATAAAAGCCAAAGGCTTGTGGAGAGAAGGCTTCACTTCCTCCCCTACCTGGACTGAGTGCTGGAGGTGCCACAGTCATCTTGTGACCCCAAGTTCAAAGCCACTCATGGAGATCTCAGAGTGCAGAGGTGTAGGGATGTCTTTATCAAGTTCCAGTACCGCCAACTGTGTCCCTCTCACTGAAGTTTGTGTGGAACAAACTAACTTATCTTATGTGTGGGGGTTCCTGTCCCCACATCCTCTTTGTGGCCTCCTCGAGAGTTCCACCTCTGTTTCTTCCTGCCTCCTCCTAGTTTAGGCCTTGTCATTCATTCTCTCTTGCACAGATGCCACAGTGGGTCCTGATGCTTTGAAGACATCTTCCCTGGAGTCTACTGCAGTTGCCAGACAATTCTCTGACACTTATGTCTGCCCATATCATATTTTTCCCTCTCTCCCTCCTGTCTCTTCCTCTCTACCTCTTTCTCTCTCTCTTTGCCAAAGGACACATGTGCTTGCCAGAGAGAGAGACAGAGAGACAGGGAGAGGGAAAAAGCATCTCCCAGTGGGGTGTGGTTACATTGCAATCCTTTCTCCATTTCTTTTTTTTTCTTTAAAGAATTGTGAATTTAATTTATTAGTTTATTATCATTATTACCAGAGTGAGAAAGGGAAAGTGAGAAGTCAAGCTACCAGGTCTAGGACTCAAGCTGTTATTGGCCATGTGGGAGTCCAGTACCTTAACCACCATGCTACCTGCCAGCCCCTTCTTTCTCCATTTCTACATCCTATTGAGATTTTGAGCATGCAACATGTCCAGCATTCTTTTCAAGTCACCAGGGCTGGGATTAGAACCATGGCTGACCTTGTGGGATGCAGCTCCCTTAACCACTAGGCTATAAGCCAGCTTTCTTATTTTAACTGCTTAATAGTCTCCATTTCCTACTCAAACCCACGTTCCTTAGTCAAGCCCTTCATGCTGGACCCTGCCTGTCTCTAGCCCCCTCATTCACCGCCTGTCCCTGGAGCATGCCCATCCCTCTGCCGTACTGTGGTCAAGCCTCCTCAGGGATGTGCCCTTCTCTCTCAGCTGACTGCCTGCCTTCTCTGAGCTCACCTCCACTGCCTACCATGGCATTTGTGGTTCTGGGTCTAGACTGTCTCTCCCCCCACCCTCTGCCTGGCTGCTATCATTGTGTGGCCCTTCTAATCCCCCCTGGGCCCAGACTCCTGAGTAGATGGTGTGTTCAGCCATCCTCAACTTGTCCTTGCCATGTGGCAGCTGCCTACTGCTTCTTGTAGAAACCACATGGCATTCTTTTTCGAAACTGGAAAAATGAGTCATAACCCTCCATTCTGACCCTGCAGTCTATTCTATGTGAGCCTGTTTAGATAGTAGTTCTTTAAGAACCTGTGGGCTGGCTCTATTATTTCTTTGGCCATGTTTTACATGGTTAGATCTGACCAGTGGTTGGGCCTCATCAACTCTCTGGCAAGAATTGCCCTGTCAGCCTGTGTCCTCAGGTATCTATCATCCAGAGTCCAGACAGATGGAGTGGTGGGAGAACAAGTGCCAGTTCTGCTCAGAACCTGCTGAGTGACCCCCAGCAGCTTACTTAAGGTCTCAAATCCAGCTTTCTCATCTTTAAATAAGGAGGTTGGATGATACCACGTGCTGTCATGAAATTGTCAAGCTCCACCTGTAGCACCCTGGGGCACATCTCCATGGACTTGCATCTTCTCAGGCACTCTCTTTGGGGATGTTGGCTTTTCCCATTTCAGTCTCATCTTGCTGTCCTGCAATCTGCTGATTCCTTTCTGTTTTGTTCACATGAATTTTATGAGAGACCATGAGGTCCCACAATCAAGATTACATTTTAGACAGGTAAGTCCATAATTTTTTGAGCCAACAAAAAGCATCCATCCACATGAATATTTATCTTTCAAAGTAGTGTGTTGAGTGTGTGTGCGCATGTGTGCATCTTTATTTCAACAAAAGGCTGCAGTTGCTCAGCACACTTGATCATTTCCTTTCTGGGAGACATCTTCAGACTGGCGGTGTGGTCCTTTGGATGAATTCCATGCTGGTGAATTGTCATCTTCTGTCAGGGAATGTGATCTTTGTGTAATAGAAAACGATTGCTACTTGAAAAGTTGCCTAGGGTTTGAAGTGGACGAATTGAACTAGGAGGAACAAAAAATTTCTCTAACAGAGTAACAAAGTCATTTGTTGGAACAAAATCCAAATCTTTAAAGAGCACTTTTGATTTAGACCTCAATGAGACAAGGATGGGAGAAGCCAAAGATTTGAACTATTTGGCATGAAGAAGAAATGGGAGGCAGACCATGCTCCACGTGGGAGGAGGGCCAGTTGTGTCCCAGGAGCCTCCCTGTGCACATAGGACTGGTTGGGGTTGAGGGTGCATGGTGGCATGAAGACTCTGGGGGTACCTCTTTCTCTTACAGAAGAAATAAATAACCTTGAAAAAGAAAAAGAACATGGTATTCTGCTTCTCCCTGTAGAAGAGGGAGGGAGAAAAGAATGAGGAAGAGAGTTGGTAGTGAACAAGGGTCCAGAAGAGGTGGTAGGCTGGCCTGAGGAAGAACCAAGGCTGGAGAAAGGTCACAGGTAGCGAACACTGGATAGTTCATAGAATGCCAAAGACTCACCACGAGGCTGAAAATCCCACCTTTCACTGTAGCTCCCCAGTATGTCAATGTTGCTTTGAGGACAATGAAGAAAGGGAACTGAGTTTCATGTTGGAGCTGACTCAGGCTGAGGGAAGAAGGCACCTATGTTAGTGACAGATTTTACCCAAAGTAACCAACTTTCACGTTACAGGAAAAATGGAGGCTGTGAGCAGAAATCGAAACTGTCCTACACAAGCACTTCTGTAGATAAGCAGAGTGCCTGGTATTCACACGCACATTTCCACAGCCACACAAGCCTTTCACCCCTTAAAATGCAAATGTGAACACATTCAGCTGGCCCAGAGATAGTCTTTCTGCAGCATATAATAATAAGCAATGTATATAAGCTTAAAATGATGCTTCGTAATCTTAGTATTACATTTTCTCATACTTAGAAATTTTCTTACATATTCAATAGTTATCCATTAATTAGCTCTGTTCAATGTCAGCTCCAGGTCTTAAGTTATCTAAAGAGCTTGGAAATTTATTTAATCTGATACATTCCAATGTATAGCTTTATATGATAAGTTTATTTGAAAAGTGATTCAATTTAGAATAACATCAATTTATAGTTTCATAATCATAACATCATAGAAAAGAAATGTTTACTTTTTGTTCAGTAAACTATTTAGGAAGTTCAGATTAACTATTGTCTTCATGTGAAATCAAGCCAAATGAAATGTGCTCTTGCATTGTACATGATGTAGATAAATCAAAGAAAGGACTTACCTGCTTTTTTTAAAAACCAAAATTATGAATATAATGATTTGCCTTAATTACCACATGTGAACTTGAATTTATGAAATGTTCCTAAGCAGCCAGCAGCCTCAGTGCTGAGGCCATGTGACAAGGTCCTGGTTTCATGTCCACACGTCTCCCTGTATAGGCTGGGCGTTCACGATCCAGGCTGGCTAAAGGCGGAGTGGATTATGTCATGGAGACCCTGTTGGGTGTGCCTGTCTCTCTCCCTCACCATGGAAAACAACATTTTGAAGCTTTGCTGTATAAACTTTCCCTATATTAGCAGTTTATGTATGAAGACATTTTTTCCCTCAATACCTAGCTCATTAAAAGTGTTAGAAGATAGGAATATTAGATTTATATAAGTGCTTATTTTTTCTATATGTTAACTGGAACAGAGCTCATTTGATCTAAGAGACATAAAATCTAATTTATTAATATATTTTATGGCTATACACCAAATGGTCCAGGCCTTTCTCTGGTAAACTCAAGACACATGGGTCACAGATACATAGATTCTTGAGTTTTGTTTTTTATTCCTCTTTTTTCTTTTTTTGGAGAGGTTTTCGCTATAGGGTGCGTGCGCTCACCAGACAGACAGAGACAGAGAGAGACAGAGGGATAGATAGAAAGGGAGAAATCACCCCCCAGAGGGGATGGCCACGCCGCAATCCCTTCTCCTCCATTCTCTCAGGATCTTGGGCATGCACGCATACACGCCCTGCGTGAGTTTAAGCCACCGGGTCCGGGACTTGAACCGTGGTCGATTACGTGGGAGTCCAGTGACATAGCCATTACGCTAACTGCTGGTCCCTAGATTCTTGAGTTTTTCAAAATCATGTTACCCTGTATGTTTACTTTAAAAATGGTTTTTATTACTAAAAAGGTGAGTAAGAACAGAGGACATACATGTCTCATAGAATAGAGACAAAATAAATGGCAGCCACTATTATCAAATCTAACAAGTAGGAGTGTCCAGCTGCTTAACAGACTTTCTCAGACAGGAAGGACAATTCCAGGATGTTGATTAGGGTTGATTCGATCTCCAGCTCCTCTGAGCTGACATCTTTCTTCCTTGGGAAAAAAACTGGACATGTTGGTGAGGGTGGGGTAAAGAGGGGCAACAGTGGAGGAGGACATTGACTGAAAAACACAAATAGGCCTGCTGGCATCCTGCAAGGATGTAAGTTGTCCCTCCAGCGCCCTGATATTTCTGGAAAATTGTATGGGATGCTCACAAATAAATTTTGTCTTGCCATGTGTTGGGGGAATTTACAAAGAACTGAATGTAATAATTTAAAAATCTGAATATAACTTTTTTCTTCTTGCATAAATGACTTTTGAAGTTCTTAACAACCCAGTGACTCAGTAGTGGCCCTCCAGCTCAGTAGTGACTGAAGAGTAGGTGTAAGTTGCAAACCCACAAATTCGGTTTGGCCAGATGGGTTCCTTCCTGTGAAGCTTGCTCATTGCAGAAAAATCAGAGAATGCCCAAATGAAAAGAAGCTTCAGTTAGTAATGTGTGCATATTCTTTGAGGTTTTTCTGTTTTTGTTTTACTGTATCTACATCTCCAAATATGAATTAACATTGTTACTTTGTAATTCAAAGTAGATATGGTAAAGGTCTGTTACATGCATATCTGAAACATGCTTCTTTTTCGTAAGTATACTTATTTCTCCCATGAGAGGGTCAGAAAAAGAGTGAGAGCGATTGAGAGAGACAAAATGAGTGAGAGACAACAGGGTCCTGGTATTACATTCATCCCTACCCTTTAGCCAACCCCCGATCATGAGCAATCATGTGCCTGCTACACGCAGAGTGGTCTCTAGACTTGAACTGGGAACCTTCCCGTATGTGGTATTGCTTTGCAGAGTGTTGCATTTAACTGCTGTGCCACCATCTGGGGTTCCTGATACACCTTTGCTAAGACTTATAATCTTTTCTGGGCTGGCTGGGCCTACCATTTGCTCTCCTCTGTTATTAGACTATTTCTAGTTTCAACCATAACAAATGCTACATCTGTAACTTATCCTCTGAGTCCTTATTTATTTCCTCAGGACAAATTTTCCAAAATGAAATTTTGGGTCAAAGGACATAAATAAAAAATAAATAAAAAATAAATAAATAAAATAACTTCCAAAAAATTTTACTGCTATTTTAGATCTATAGAAAAATTGAGGGAGTAGGAAGTTCCCATATACCCTACACCCAGTTTCTGCTATCATTTACATCTTACATTAGTATGGTACATTTGGGAGCCAGCAGTTAGTGTGGTGGTTAAGGTGCTAGACTCCCACATGGCTGACTGTGGTTTGAGACCCAGGCCTGGTGAATGGCTTTCTCACTCTCTTCCCCCCAACCCCTGTGTCACTCTCTGGTGAGCACAGGTGCTCTATAGGAAATTAAAACAATAATAATAACTTTTTAAAGTTAAATTAATTCTTTTAAAAAGTCTGGTACATTTGTTACAATTAATCAACTCATATTGACAACAGTATTACTTTATTTGGATTTCCTTAATTTTTCCCTAGTGTCCTTTTTCTGTCCCAGGATCCCATCCAGGATTCCACATCACTTTTAGTCATCATGCCTCTGTAGGCTCCTGGGGATATAACAGCTCCTCACACTTTCCTTGCTTTTATAATGGTTGCATTAACTCTACAAATATATGTGAGAAAAACAGCATGTTAACACTACTCTGAGGCTTTCAATCCATGAACATGGTTTAGCTTTCCATTCATTGATGTATTTGGAATGTCTCTTTATAACATATTATTATGGAAAAAATCAAACAAACAAACTAACAAACAAAATAAGATGAGTCAGGTATTTTGAAGAATTTCCCACAGTTGGGATTTGATGTTTTTCTCATGATTTGGACTGGGTATTTTAATTTTGAGGTTGCAGACCACAGAGGCATAGTAACATTCTAATTGCCATCATATCAAGGGTGCATATTATCCACATGGCTCTTCACTGATGTTGACCTCAATCACAGGGCTGAGTTAATGTTTAAAGCTAGCTGCTCCCTACCCTTCACACTGTACTCTCTGGAAGGAAGTCACTATAAGAGTCCACGCTTAAAAATAGGGAGTTCTGTTTCATCTTTTTAAAAGAAAATTCACTAGAGGACACATGTACTCTCCAGACAGAGAGGAGAGAGAGAGAAAGTGAGAAAGCACTCCCCAAAGGGGATGTTCATGCCACAGTCCCTTCTCCATTTTCCTCTTGGGATTTTGGCCATGTATGCACATGGACCTGGAGTGTTTTTCAAGCTGGAACTTCTGGGACTGAACCATGCAGTTAACCATGTGGGATCTAGCTACCTTAACCACTATGCCACTGGCTGGGATTTGTTTCATCTTTTCAAGGGACAAGTATTACACAAATTATTTGGAATGAATATGCATGGACGTTTGTCTATTCTGTCTCAATTGTTTACTTATTTGATTATTTATATTAGAATGGACTAAGGACTATTGATTTTATACTCTGGATTATAATCCAACACTATTTTATTTTGTTGCTTACATTGTTCCAGGTTTCATTAATTTGTCCCTTGAGATACTCCATCATTGTGGAATATTTTTTCAAGCATGTTCTGACTTTCTGGCATTATCAGATGCTCCATGCTAATCTTATATATTTCCTGCCCCAGTCCTAGTAGCAGCCATATATATACATATATATTTTTTTGCTATAGGGCGCGTGCGCTCGCCAGACAGACAGAGAGAAACATAGAGACGAGAGAGAAAGTGAGAAAGCACTCCCCAAAGGGGATGTTCATGCCACAGTCCCTTCTCCATTTTCCTCTTGGGATTTTGGCCATGTATGCACATGGACCTGGAGTGTTTTTCAAGCTGGAACTTCTGGGACTGAACCATGCAGTTAACCATGTGGGATCTAGCTACCTTAACCACTATGCCACTGGCTGGGATTTGTTTCATCTTTTCAAGGGACAAGTATTACACAAATTATTTGGAATGAATATGCATGGACGTTTGTCTATTCTGTCTCAATTGTTTACTTATTTGATTATTTATATTAGAATGGACTAAGGACTATTGATTTTATACTCTGGATTATAATCCAACACTATTTTATTTTGTTGCTTACATTGTTCCAGGTTTCATTAATTTGTCCCTTGAGATACTCCATCATTGTGGAATATTTTTTCAAGCATGTTCTGACTTTCTGGCATTATCAGATGCTCCATGCTAATCTTATATATTTCCTGCCCCAGTCCTAGTAGCAGCCATATATATACATATATATTTTTTTGCTATAGGGCGCGTGCGCTCGCCAGACAGACAGAGAGAAACATAGAGACGGAAACGGAGAAATCACCCCCCGGGGGGATGGTCACACCGCAATCCCTTCTCCTCCATTCTCCTCTCGGGATCTTGGGTACGCACGCACACGGGCCCGGCGTGAGTTTTAAGCCACCAGGTCTGGGACATGAACCGCGGTCGACTACGTGGAAGTCTGGTGACATAGCCATTACACTAACTGCTGGTTCCCAAGTAACAGCCATATTTTAAGGAAAGTAGGGCACACATTTTTCAGGGGTTTTCATACACATCGCTGAGTTAGTCACCAAAAAGTTTATACAATTTGTAGTTCAGCCAGCAGTGTATGGCTACTCATTTGTCATTACATTGCAATAATCTAAAAATAATGTTTCATCATTCCTTTAAGTTGGTTCCACTAATAATTAGTGACTTTCCCTAATTTTGTAAATTTATTATTGATTTGTAATTTGGAAAATTGTCTTTTCATGTTCTTAACTCCTCTTTCTATTAGAATGTTTGTTGATAACATTTTGTAAGAATTGAGTATCTAAAATGTACAGTAACCTTTTGACATATCACATAAATTGCAAATATTTGTCTTAGTTTCTTATTTGCCTTTTGAATTTATAGATTGTTTTTCATTTAAAAACAAAAAAGGCTTTTAAATATGGTAAATTTTACCTGGCATAAAAGAGGAATTACCCTCTTTGTAATCTTTGTAATGCAGAATCTCTTGTACTCTTTTCCCAACTTCCATAATCACCAAAATTTTGCCACTCTTATTTTTGCTACTTCTCTCACATTATTATTATTAATTTTAAGCTGGAGTTCTTTAAAGTAAATTCCAGCATGTCCTTTTACCTATATATACTAATGTATACATCCTTAACTAACAAGAGCATTTTAAAACACAAACACCAGGGAACCAGCAGTTAGCGTAATGGCTATGTCGCTGGACTCCCACGTAGTCGACTGCAGTTCACATCCTGGACCAGGTGGCTTAAAACTCACGCCGGGCGCGTATACGTGCGTGCCCAAGATCCCAAAAGGAGAATGGAGGAGAAGGGATTGTGGCGTGACCATCCCCCCTGGGGGGTGATTTCTCCCTTTCTGTCTCTGTGTTTCTCTCTGTCTGTCTGTCTGGTGAGCACATGTGCCCTATAGTGAAAAACCTCTCCAAAAAAAAAATAAATAAATAAAATAACCAAAAAAACCCCCACAAACACCACACATTATCATACCCACCAAAATTAAACAATTCCTTAATGTAATCTAGTACATAATTCATTATCAAATTCTCAAAAATACCTTTTAGAGTTGAGTTTTCTCAATCAGGATCCAAATAAGACTTGTATGTTGTGTTTAGGTATATATTAAGCATCCTTTATTCTTTCTGTTGTATTCTTTTTTCTTCTTCTATTCCTTAATTATTATTTTTAAATGCCATTGATTTGCTGGAAAAACTAGTTCATTAGATTAAAATTTTTTATAGTAATAGATCTTTGTAAAAATTATGTTTTAATTTAATTTTATTTATTATAATTATTTTTTAAATTTTGCCATAGGGCATGTGTGCTCACCAGAGAGAGATGAAAGAGAGAGAGATAGGGAGAGAGGGAAGGTGAGAATGGAAGCTGCCAGGTCTGGAACTTGAACTGTGGTCAGTCATGTGGGAGTCTAACACCCTAATCACCATGCCACCTGCTGGCCCCAGTTCATTGGATCTTTAAAATTTCCTGTATTGTGGATTTGGCTGATTGCTGCCTAGAAGAGTTCTTAAATTTTCTCTCTATTCCCTGCATATTACATAAATTAGTAAGTAGTTGGATCCAGAGACTTGATTAAATTCAAGGTTTTTTTTTATTTAATTTTTTTTTATGATAGGGAATATGTACATGTGCATGCATACCAGAAAGCAGGAGCAAGAGAGATAGAGAAAGCACCCTTGACAGGCTGTCATCACGCTGTGATCCTTTTTCCCCAGTCCCGTTACTCCTCAGGATCCAGAGCACCCTTGCGTGCCCTACATATTTGCAGGTCAACCTAGAATCTGAACCCAGGGTCAGCCTTGTGGTTTCCAGCCTGTAATCTGGTGTACTATGGATTGTGCCACCAGACTGGGCCCAAGTTCTTTCTATTTTAAAAATTATTTGTTGGGAACCAGCAGTTAGCGTAATGGCTATGTCGCTGGACTCCCACGTAGTCGACCGCGGTTCACGTCTCGGACCCGGTGGCTTAAAACTCACGCCGGGCGCGTGTGCGTGCATGCCCAAGATCCCGGGAGGAGAAGGGATTGCGGCGTGACCATCCCCCCTGGGGGGTGATTTCTCGCTTTCTGTCTCTATGTCTCTCTCTGTCTGTCTGGCGAGCGCACGCGCCCTACAGTGAAAATCTCTCCAAAAAAAAAAAAAATATATATATATATATATTTGTTTATCTATTTATTTTAAAAATTTAAATTTTTAAAGAGATTTTTGCTATACGACATGTGCGCTCACCAGAAAGAGATAGACAGAAAAACAGAAAGTGAGAAATCATCACCTGGGGGATGGCCGTGGCCTGGCAATACCTTCTCCTCCAGTCTCCTCTAGGGATTTCGGGCATGCATGCACATGTGCCTGGCATGAGTTTTAAGCCATTGGGTCTGGCACTTGAACCACAGTTCAAGTGATATAACCATTATGCCATCTGCTGGTCCCTATTTATTTATTTTTAAGGTTTTTGCCATAGGATTCATGCTTGCTGGAGAGAAACAAAGAGAGTGAGAGGGAAAGTGAGAAATCAGCCCCAGGGGGATGGCCATACTGCAGTTCCCTCTCCTCCATGCTCCTCCTGGGATTTTGGGCATGTATGCTCAAATGCCCAGTGTGATTTTCAAGCTGCCATATTTGGGGCTTGAACCACAGTGGCTATGTAGAAGTCCAGTGCCATAACCACTATGCCACTTGCTGGCCCCACCAAGTTCTCTTTTTAAGGCAAGAGCACCTCTTAGGTGGTGCTGTGATTTCTTGCTGGATCTCATCAGGGAGGTTCATTACAGTTCTTCTACCTTTGGCGATGATCAGTTCAGATGAGTGTCAAGTTGTTTCCTCCATTGTAAAGTTTACATTTCATCTCATCAGCTCTGTAGTTCCTCTGAAATATAGCTTGGAAGAAAAAGATAAAGTGAGTGCTTTTTGTTTCCTTTTTTTTTAAATTTTCCAGAAGGTGCATGTGCTCACTAGAGAGAGACAGAGAGAGAGTGAGAAAGCACTCCCCATGAGGGATGGTCATGCTACAATGCCTTCTCTTCCATCCCTCCCTTCTTTTGGGATCTTGGGCTTGCACACAATCCTGGTGTGCTTTTCAAGAAACTGTGCAGTTGACTTTAAGGGATCTAGTCTCCTTAATTAACCACTATGCCACCAGCTTGTCCATGTTTTTTTATTTCCCCCCTATTGATTAATTTTCAGAGTAATGAGCTAATTAGAATGATGATCAAAGAGTTCTAAAACGCTATTAGGGGGACCAGCAGATGGTGTAAGGGTTATGTCACTGGACTCCCATGCAGTGAACAGCAGTTTGAGGCTGGACCTGGTGGCTTAAAACTCACACCAGGTGTGTGTGTGTGTGTGTGTGTGTGTGTGTGTGTGCGCGTGACCAAAAAATCCCAAGGGAATGGAGGAAAAGGGATTGTGGCATGGACAGTGCCCCTGGGGGGTGATTTCTCGCTTCCTGTCTCTGGTTTCTGTCTCTAGGGTGAGCTAACGCATCCTATAGCAAAAATCTCTCTTAAAAGAAAGGTTATCATGGGACCAGCAGATCGCATAATGGCTATGTTGCTTGAACTCACACCAGGCGCGTGTGCGTGCGTGCCCAAGATCCCGAGAGGAGAAAGGAGGAGAAGGGATTGCGGCGTGGCCATCCCCCCTGGGGAGTGATTTCTTGCTTTCTGTCTTTATGTCTCTCTCTGTCTTTCTAGTGTCCAGCCATATAGCAAAAACCTTTCCAAAAAAAAGAAAAGGTTATCAGGAACTCATGAAGTTTTTTTTTTTTTTTTTTTTTTTAGAATTATTTTATTTAACTTTATTTACTTGTTTAAATTTGACCAGAGAGGGTCAGAGAGAGAGAGAGAGAGAGAGAATGTGGGAAAGTGAGAGAGCAAGCCACCAGGTTTGGGACTTGAACTGCAGTCAGCCATGAGGGAGTCTAGCACCCTTAACTACCACACCACCTGCCACCTGCCTCATGGAGTTTTTATATATTTCTTGTGTTCTATTCCATTTCAATAATTTGACTTTTAGATGCTTGAGTGTTCTATCTTAGGGCAGTGGGAGCCCCTTCAGATTGGCACGTGTATTTTTTCTTTTTTTAAGATTATAATAACATTTTATGGGAGGACATTCAAAAGGCATCGATGAATTGAGAGCTAAACCGTGTTTATGGATTGGAAGGCTCAATAGTGTTAACATGCCATTTTTCTCACATGCATTTATAGAGTTAATGCAACTTCAACTAAACCTCCAACAGGATTCCTGTGGAATTTGACAAATGCATTTAAAAATTTATATGTAAATGCAAAGGGCCAGGCCAAGCCACTCTAAAAAGAACTCGGTGGGAGAACTTGAGCCACCAGAGAGTAAGACCTGTTTTAAAGCCACAGTTGAGAGCATATTATTGGTGCAAGGATAGAGATACAGACCACTGACTTAAGTATATGCTTCTGCTACAGATCCATACTTTAATAGACCGTGGATATATGACAACAAATTATCACTTTTAAAAAAAATAAACTAATTCATGAGAAAAGAAGATTAGAATTTCTACCTCGCACCATACACAACCTATCTTAGGTGTACAAAGACCTAAAAATAGAGAGTAAAATTATAAAGATATTAGAGAATAAAACAGGATATCTTCGTGACCTTGTGACAGGGGAATAGTTCCTAGATAATAAAGAAAAAAAGCATTTACCTAAGAGGGGAAAAATAAGACACACTGAGCTATTTTCAAAGTAGTAGGTAGGTAAAAGACTTTGGAATATGCCGGGACCAGCAGTTAGCGTAATGGCTATGTTGCTGGACTCCCATGTGATCGACTGCGATTCGCGTCCCAGACCCAGTGGCTTAAACTCATGCCCGACATATATGTGTGTATGCCCAAGATCCCAAGAGGAGAATGGAGGAGAAGGGATTGCAGCGTGGCCATCCCCCCTAGAGGGTGATTTCTCGCTTTCTATCTCTCTGTCTCTGTCTGTCTGGCGAGCGCACGCGCCTTATAGCAAAAATCTCAAAAAAAAAAAAGAAAAAGACTTTAGAATGTGCCATTTGTAAAGTCTGTTTCCAACTTGTGACTGGGTATGTAGACAGGTTGGAGGTCAGTTTTAGAAACTTTTATGTCAGCCTGACAGTGTATTCTATGTTTGCTTAATCTAGTAATTAAAACATGAGGCGTACGTTGTGACTGCCATTAAAAATTGTTTTTAACACTTTACATTTTAAATCTATCTGCCACTGATTAAGATGAAAATCAGATAAAGTAACAAACCAGGGGTGGGGTAGTGGCATAGGGTAAAAATGCAATGCTTTTGGAGGCAGATCCACAGGAGATGGTTGTCATTGCTTTGGGGAGACCTTCCTGAGCATGTGGGCGGGTACCGGAGTGCCCATGATCCTGGCTGGCTGAAGCTGGGGCTGGATCTCGGTATCAAGACCCTGTCTGGTGGGGGAGAATGCATGCTCGCTCTCTATCTGAAAGAACAAACTTAAACAAACAAACAAACCAAACTAACAAACCAAAATGTGTCTGATGTGACAGATAATTTAAGAAATACTGAAATAGACAAAATGGAAATCAAGAAATCAAAAAAGTCTACTAATGTAAAACAAAATAAATGGAAAAAAGATGTGTGCAGCACATTAATTTCTAATGGGATATAAGAATCAATTCAAATCAAGAAAAAAGGGGAAAATCAGCATGAACAGACACTTCACATGAGAATTTCTAGTACCTTGTCAGTAGGCGAGAGCTGTTTAACCTCACCGTCTTCAGGGAAATGAACTCTGAAACCACGAGGAAGCCACAATGTTGGCAGACCTCAAAGGTTAAAAAGGAGATGGCAAGTGTAGATACCAGAGACTGTATAGGAGGGGGTGGGCAGTTGGGGATGGGAGGGAGGGGCTCAGAAAAAAAATTAGCAGAGAGACACAAGAATGGAAAGTTACCGCGCACCATAGTATCTTTGACTTGTTTGATATGCAATGTATTTATTACTTGAGAACCTATATTGTATGCTATAAAGACATAACAATGATTAAATGTAAATTTTTAAAACAATATATATATATTTTTAAAGTCTCATAATCTGAAATGTCAGTAACAGTGCTGTCCCGTGGGAGTCTTGGGAAACACCGCTGATAGAACAGTAAATGTGCCCGGTCCTCTGGAGAGGGCTGGCAGCTTCCACCAGCTCTGAACGTTTGCAGGTCCCTAAGCGCAATTGCACTACCTGTCCTAAGCACCAACGGTGCACATGTAGGTCCCAAGGAAAGTGGTGGGGGCATCCCTGAAGGTGCTGCTCACGATGGCTTCAGAGTGAAAATAAGCAGACACCCGCATCAGTAGAATGGACTGCACTAGGAGGTGCTTTGGCACTGTGGAAGAGTAATCAGTGGTGAGAACTGCCCAGTCACAAATCCAGGCCCAAGTGGATGCACCTCACAGGGAGGCACACCTTGGTCCCTTTAGGGTTTTGGGATCTGCAGGACGGGGCTGGGAGACACACCTCTTCAAATGTCCAGGAGGAGAAATTCTATCCTTGCATAAGGCCAGCCCCTGCTTGGTACCCAGATGTGGTGGGGAAGAGGAAAGGTCCTGAGTAAGTCTTGGGGTGGGAGGAGCCCTGTGCGGAATGAGGAAGGATCTGGTGTGGGTCTCAGGTGGAGAGGTCGTGAGCCCAGGGGCTGGGATCTTGGGCTTGCTGCCCTGCGCTGGGGTTCCTGGGCCTGGCCCAGGATTATTGGAGACCACCCTGTGTGACGTTGGCTCAAATCTGCTGGAAAACAACTTGGGTGACCTGGCACACTGGGTCCTCAAGTATAGGAGACACAATCTCCTATGATCTGTTTCCCAGAGAAGCAAGCCAGGCACCACTGGGTTAATGTATCCTGTGTCTAATAGTTCTCCATTTTCTGCTAATATATATATTTCAATTTCTATGTTTGAGGGGAACATGTGATATTTCTTTTTCTAAGCCTGACTTATTTTACTTAACATAATGTCTTCCAGGCTCATCCATTTAACCTTAAATGACAGGATTTTGTTCTTTTTAATAGCTGAACAGTATTCCATTGTGTGTGTGTGTGTGTGTGTGTCTGTGTGTACCATGTTTTCTTTATCCATTCATCTGTTGATGGACATTTAGGTTAATTTCATATCTTGGCTATTGCAAATAGTGTTGTAATAAATGTAGAGGTGTAGGTATCTTTACAACATATTGATTTTCTTTCTTTTGGTTATATCACTAGTAGTGGGGTTGCTGGATCACATAGTAGTTTTATTTTTAATTTTTTGAGGAATCTTCATATTGCTTTCTATAATGGTTGGCCTAATTTATAGTCCTTTCAACAGGATAACACAATGCCCCTTTCTGTGAATCCTCATCGGGATTTGTTATTTTTTTGCCCTTTTTAAAAAGATTTATTTTTTAAATAATTATTTTATTTAACTTTATTTATTTATCCATTTATTTATTTATTTATTTAAATTTGACCAGAGAGGGACAGAGTGAGAGCGAGAGTGAGAGCAAGAGAGAGAGCGAGAGAGAGAGAGAGAGAAAGTGAGAAAGTAAGCCACCTGGTCCGGGACTTGAACCATGGTCAGCCATGTAGGATTCCAGTGCCCTTAAGCACCATGTCACCTGCTGGCCCCTATTTTTTGTCTTTTTAATAGTAGCCATTCTGATTGGGGTAAAATGGGATCTCATGGTTTTGATCTGCATTTCCCTAATAGTAATAGTGAGTATTTTTTCATACATTTGTTAGCCATTTGTAGGTCCTCTTTGAGAATTATTTATTCGGCTGCCTATTTAAAAATCAGATTATTATTGTTATTATTATTACTATTATGTTCTTTGT